GCATCACAGCTCACAGCAGCCTCCAACTCCTGGGCTCAAGAGAGTCTCCTGCTTCCGCCTCCCAAGTAGCTGGGACCACAGGCACCCGCCATAACACCTGGCTATTTTTTGGTTGCAGCCATCGTTGTTTGGCGGGCCCGGGCTGGATTCGAACCCACCACCTTAGGTGTATATGGCTGGTGCCTTAGCCCCTTGAACCACAGGCGCCAAGCCATCACAAATGTCTTGTAGCAAAAATTGCTGCTGGTCTTGGCGCTGGAAGCTGCAGTGTTTCCTAACATTCCCACATTTCAATGTATTGTCAGTGTCTTTACATAAATGGTGAGAGAGTAATGGGCTGCAAAGGACCTGCCAGAGCTGGGAAGGAGCTGCAACATCTGCTCTTGATTCCACTAGCTGTTGGTTTTGCTTTGTTTCTTTTCTATCTTCACCAGTTTTCACCAAGTCTGGAGGCCTGTGGAGGGCCTGGAAGCCTGAAAATGAGGATTGCTCATCCCCACTGGGCGCACAAAGGTCATAAGGCGACCCCAAGGGGCAGGGCTGGGAGGAGTGGAGCTCAGGGCCTTGGCCACCCCAGTCCTGCAATGCGGTCCAGGGGGGCCCCACAGAGTGTGGGAAAGAGCTGAGGGACACTGTTCCAATCTAGGGCATGTTCAGTGTCAGATGAGTGAGGGGGCGCCATGGGAATCTGCCCACAGGAGGGTGAGAACACTTCTGACAAAGGCACAGAGAATGGAGAGAACTCAGCATGTTCACAAACTGCATGAGGTGGGAGCTGGTCAAATGGCCTAGGATCTAGGACTCTGCACTGCCAACAAAGGGAAGCCTCTGAGGCTACAACCAGGTCACAGTGGAGAGTCATGTAGCCGGTGTGGGTGCCCATGTCAAAGGGCCCCAAGTCCAGCCATTCCTCTGTCAATAGGAGGGCAGAGGCCTGAGGACAAGGGCCCTGCCTGGGCAGTCTGCCAACCCTAGGGAGGGTGTGTCCTGCCCTCTTGGGATGGCAAGATGGGAGGGACCGGCAAATCCTTCTTAAGATAGCCAAGGACACAAGGGACTCTCATAGGAAGGGAGGTCCTTCACTGGCTACTGACCTCACCATCACCTTTGCTCCTGCCCCTGGTGTCTGGTATTGCTGACATGAGGAACAGGATGCCGGGAATGATGTACTTCCAGTATTTGTTGAAAGGACTTCTGTTCCTGGGAGTTTCAGGCCTTCTGGGCCTGCTCCATCTCCAGACGTGCAATGGAGGCTGCTGTCTCTGGGCAGTGCTCCATCCAGCCCTCCACCTCAAGTCCTCTGCAGCCCCCTGGGGTGCCTCACCACCAACATGCCCACCACACTGTTGGCAGAGTTAGCTGGTCTACCTCTACCAGGGAGCACTCAGGAACAAAGGATAAGCTCTAACCACCAGCTTCTGGGCCATTAGGGCCTTGGGTGTTTCAGGATGCAGAACTAGAACAGGCTGTTCAGGGTTGCCACATCTGGGAACTTGGCCTGCTGCTCCTTGCTGAGCAGCCACTGGGACAGGGATAAGGTGCCCTCCTGCTGGTTCCAGAGCAGTAAGCTCAGTTTCTGCAAGTGGGCATTGCCATGAGTGTCAGACAGCAGTAGCCTCCCTGGGCCATACCGTAGCCTCCTCTGCTTTGCATCTGGCCCCCTGCACAGCAGCCTGAGAGCTATGACAGTATCTTCTCCACAGAAAATTTCCTAATTGGGGCACTGGACTGCAGGAATGTAGAATGTCCTTATGATCAGGAAATGCACATTAAAGTAGGTGTTAAGGGGTAATATCTCCAGCCAAATCAATCTCAAAAGACCCAGAAAAATAACATGCATAGGCTGAAAGGTAAGCTGTGGTGCATCTGGACAAACAGCATGAGTTCTCTGTGCTGTTCTTGCAACTTCAAGTTGGAAATTAAAATTTAAAAATTACCAACAAATTACCAGTGGATTAAACATAAAGCCTCCCCGAAGCAGCCAGAACAAAGCCCATGTGTGCCACCTGCCCCCCCCATACATGACTGAGTGGCCCCTGCAGGCCATACATACTTGGTCACATCTTTATTAACTGCAGCCACCAAACAAGCGTCCTGTGCATCAGCCTTACCAACCCCAGGGCCTTCTAGGGCTTCCTCCCTGTACGTTCAAGCTCTCCCTGAGGCTGCGCCTGCTGCAGTGTCAGTGTTCACACCCTCCTCTGATTGCGGAGGGAGAGCCCAATCAGGGGACACACCTGAGGGAGTCTTGGGGACAGACTTCTCTGAAGGGAGGTTGTCCTGCGAGGCCACAGGCATTGAGGACTGAGAAGACATCCTAGAGCCCGAGAGAGACTGCCCCAGGGATGGGGTCAGGGATGGGGCCCGGGACCCAGCAGGCGACGAGGCCATGGATGTGACCCGGGACCCAGCAGTGTGCAACGAGGTCAGGGATGGGACACGGGACTCCGCACGCAATGGGTTTACGGATGGGACCTGGGACCCTGCACGTGATAGGGTCAAGGATGGGACCCGGGAGCCCAGTTTTGAAGTGGGCAGCGATGGCTCCCTGGTGCCCACGTGCGATGGGACCAATGATCGGATTTTGGAAGCCACCCGCGAAGAGACCACAGATGGGGCCCGAGAAGCTGGGCGCGACCGGCCCACAGATGGTGACCGGGAAGCAGCAGGCGACCCGGCCCGGGAAGAAGCGTACGACGGGCCCAGGGGGGCGGCTAAGGACGCTGGACGGGAAGTGGGCTGGAAGGAGACCGGCGGCTGCCAGAGTGGCGGGCCCCCAGGGCCTCTGCGCAGCCAGCCATGCAGGCGCGCCAGGTCCCGCGTGTCCTCGTGTTCACGATGCAACTGTTCGCGCTGTTCCAGCAGCTGGCGCCGTGTGTCGTGCAGCAGCTGGGCCCGACGAAGCAGCCGCAATAGCTCCTGCCGCAGGCGCCCGTTGTCTGCCTTGATGGCCTGAGTGTGCGCGATGAGCGCGCGCGTCGCCTCCCGCTCCGCACGCCGCGCTAGGGACTGCACGCACTGACGCGCCTCGCGTTCGAAGGCCGCCTTGTCCTCCAAGAAGCGCCGCTTCACACGGTGGAGCAGCTGTGTGTGCTCCACGCGCATGTGCAGCAGCTCGCGCTCCAGAGCCCGGATTCGGGCCAGCTGTTCCAGCTGCAGCTCCTGCGGCAGGGGCGCGGGTCAGCGCAGGACTCTGCGCCACCAGCCGGCCCCGCAGCCCACCCCGCTCCACCCAGTCCATGGGCGCTCACTGGCCTTGTAGGGCTGCAGCTCCTGCACCTGCCGCGCCATCTGCGCCGCGCGCGACTCCATCTCCAGCAGCTGCGCGCGCACCCCGTCCTCGCGCCCGCCATAGAGCGCCACCAGCTCCCCGCGCTGCCAGCGGATCTGCGTCAGGTCCATGCGGTTTTGCTGGTCCAGCCGCACGATGGCGTGGGCGCAGCGCTGGGCGCGCGCACTCACGTAATTGGCGTACAGCCTGTTCTCCTCGCGCAGGCGCAGCGCCTCGCGGTCCAGGAAGGCGTTCTCCTGTAGCACCTGGTCCACACGCTCCTCGCAGGCCTCCAGCTGCTCCGACAGTAGAGCGTACTCGCGCTGCAAGTACTGCGCACGCTCCGAGGGCGGTGGCTCACCACCGTCGCCTGAGGCTCCGGGCCGCCGCCCGGCGCTCATCCCGCGTTTCTTCCTGGGCGCCATGGGATGGGGCCTGGGACACCCGGACTTGTGAGGGCACCGTCCCTGCCGACTCCCCCAGCTTAGTCCCTCCTCTTCCCCAGCCTAAACACTCTGAGTCCCCAGCTAGGACTGAGATACGTCTTAGGGTCAGGTTTAGGGGAGACAGAATCGCGGAAAGAGAGTCTCAGGGGTCAGGGCAGCACCGCCAACCTTTACTTGTGGGCTCCGTCGAGGTGCACACAATATTAGTAATGTTGATGCGTAGCAGCCACAGTCTCTATGGAGACAGAACTTGGTCGCCCTGCCCCCACCTCCGTTGCTTGGGCAACGGCTTGACTGCTTTCATCCCCCACAACTCCCTTCGCCTTAGGTTGCACCCCCAGGGGTAGGGTCCGAGAACCAAAGCACGACTCTGGACTTGGTTCTGAATCCAATAGCAGCATCCTATACGGCCCCAACTCTCCACGTGGCAGAGACTTCTGTCCTTCACCTTTCGTCCACCAACGGGTTCTTTCCATTTTGCCCCCTTATGGAGAGAGGCTTCACCTTGTCCCCGCCCTCCCAGCCTTGAGCAAGCCCCTCCCCACCTGACAGTATGACCTCTATGGTATCAGGACCCAGCACTTTCCTGGACACAGCTGAGATTCCTTCAGCCCTTCTGTGGTCCGGGGAAGAGTCGGTTTGGACGCTCGCGATGCGCCCCAGTACGGAGCGCTGCTCTCCCTAAGCCCCGTGTCTGGCACCTTCTGGGTCCATGGGTCTGCACCAGGCCGGCTTCGGTTCCCAGTTTGCCTGGTGGCTGGAGGGGCAAAGGCATGCATCAGGGATTTGGCTGTTTCTCTTTTGGCTGTAGACTTGCCTTAATCTGACTGGAAAATGGGAGCGGAGCTTCTTGCAGTGCGGGCTCCGGACCGGCAGATACCTCGGGAAGGGGGGGTGTCTGCACGGCCTTCCAGGGCGGTCTACGTCTACACCGCCTTGTGCCCCATGGCCATGTAGTGAGTTTCTGCCTGTCCACGTCTGTCAACGTTTGCTAGGATATAGGCTAATTTGAGGATCCTCCACTTGTAACGTTGGGAGGGACACGATTTTAGGAAACCGTATTTGTAGGTCTGTGTCGGAAATAGGGTTGGAAGGTGGGTAACTCACCAGTACCACTAGACTTGCTCTGATTGGCTAATCTGCCCGACGGGTATGGTGGGCCTCTTAAATTAGGAAAGCAACCGAGGTTTCCCCTCCTTTTAAAAAGGTATTTTTTATTTATTTATTTTAGCAGGCCCAGGCTGGGTTTGAACCCACCACCCCTGATGCACAGGGCTGGTGCTCTAACCATTGAGCTACAGGCGCCCAGTGCCTGTAGCACAGGGGTTATGGCGCTGGCCACATGCACCTAGGGTGACAGGTTTGAACCCAACTCTGGCCTGCTAAACAACAATGGCAACTTCAGCCAAAACATAGTAGGGTGCTGTGGCAGGCACCTGTAGTCCCAGCTACTTGGGAGGCTGAGGCAAGAGCATCACTTAAGCCCAAGAGTTTGAGGTTGCTGTGAGCTGTGATGCCACAGCACCCTACTGAGGGCCACATAGTGAGACTCTCTCTCAAAAAAAGAAAAGGTATTTACTTAGAAGTAAAAATAAAAGGATATAAACTGCAGGACAGTGCAGTATTTCTGTTGACATCAAACTCCTGAAGACACTCTTGATTTATAAACTAGAGCAGCATCTGAATGTTGGCCTTCAAATATGGGCTTTTATTATGACAGTGGTACCTAACTTCTTAGGGAAACTGAGAAGAGACCAGCTTCTGTGCCTCTGCAGGCAGGCCCATTTACGGGGTCTTTCCTGCCCTCCCCAGGGCCCTTCCCTGGTGCTCTCCACCTCAGTGCCTTCAGGGATCACCTGGCATCACTCTCCTCATTTGACAGATTGGGAAACTGAGGCAGTGAGGTGGAGGCCTGCCCACATGGGAAGTCTGGTCCCCTTCAGTCTTGGAACCTGGGCCATCCCAGGCCATGCCACACTCAGCTCTGCACCATCCTGGCTCTGCTCAGAACCCCCAGTCATGCTCAGCCCCAGCCCAGCCTCATGCTGGCCTTAGCCTGGCTGACCCATCCACTCCCCCCAGGCCTCTGCCCCCTGCCAGAATCCTGGCCACCAGCTGCCAGGGTTGGTCTCTGACCCTCTTACCCTTGGAGATTAGAGGAAGGAGTTGACTTGCCTATTGCCTGCTGGGGCTCATCCTCCCAGGGAAGGACATCTGGCCTAGAGGTGGGCTGCAATACCTACTACGATGGCCCCCCAGGCCTTCCTCTTATTGGGTTAGGAAGGGTCCCCAGTGTCCATGGGAGAAAGCACTTGCCTCCAAGGCATCAGGATTCAAAACCAGGTAGTACTTGAGACACTTATCCCACACTGAGGGCTTCCCTTTCCCTCTGTGAATTGGGGAATTTTACCCACCCTGGGCCTCAAACTACACCTCCCTCAGACTCAGGCTGGGGATGATCTCAGGGGTCACTCACTGCCCCCATGCTGGCAAGGCACTACGGGAGGGTGACAGTGCTCAGTGTCTGCCAAAGCCCTTCCTGTTCCACCTGCTGGGACCTGCCTGGCCCTGAAGGCTGCAGCACTGAGTGGCTTTGGCCTTTTCCTGGGAAATGGCTCACTGCTCACAGGCTTCCAGAGCCTGCTCTCTGTGGCTCCAGCTTGCTATGCTTGCTGCCTGGACTGTCTTTCCCTCCTTGTTTCCTAAGACTTGGGGTGTTCTCCCCTCCTCTACAAGCAGGCAGTGGGGCTGGGCTGTGTGCCTAAACCTGGGCAGAGCTCTCCCAGCAGTGTCTGCTCCCATTTCACAGATGGAGAAATGGAGGCACAGAGTGGCTTGTCCTAGGCCCCATGGAAGCACTGGGGCTGTGACTTGAGTCTTGGAGGGATCTTCCCACTTCTTGTGCTGCCTTTCAGAACCCTCTCCCCTATCCTTGCCATGTTGCCTGATATAAGGGGGCAAGAGCACCATCGCCCTTCCACCTGCCAAGGCCGGTTCTGCCTATGATGTCAGAGACCCTGCCCTGGTGTTTAGCCCTGGCAAGAGCCTGAGACCCACAGGGCAGCCAGATTCTGACCAGTGGTGACATGAAGGCCTGGTGGTAGGCAGTGCCCTGGCTCCACCCTCAGTACCTTGTCCCTTGATCTGAAGCACAGGGCTGATGGGGACCACCATGGCAAAATGGACTGGCCAGGAACCTGAGTGAGGCCCAGCATGGCCAATCTGTTCAGTGTGTCCTCTGGTTGGGCCAAGGGCTGGAGGCCCCTCCCTTGGTTGTTCTCTGTGTGCTGGGATCAGCTGAAGCTTGTCCCTTCCCCCATCCCTACAGGCCTGCCCCACCCCTCCCTACCTGTGTTGGTTCAGAGAGGTGTGCAGGAGTGAGGACCTTCCCCTCCATGGCTAGGTACCTGGGAACTGATGTCAGGTCCAAATGAACTTCATGGTCATCCCCACAGGCCGTGGCATGCATCAGCTCCCATAGCCATGGCTGCCTCAGGAGGGCACGCTCTGCCCTCCTCAGCACAGTACAATGAGGGCCACAGGCCACCCAGACCGCTCACAGATGTGAGGACCAGGCCTGAGCCTGCAGGAGCCCTGCCCACGCCATTCCTGGTTGTCCTTTTTGTTTGTGAGGAAGAGGATAGCCATCAAGTTGAGGGCCAGGGGCCCACATGGGTGGCAGCAAAGATGCCACACCAGCTCTGGAGACACCCCTGAGGGCACCTCTTTTGATCCTCACATCTGAGTCCATGGTGTTGCATGGTCTCAGAGACAGTTCTCCCAGGAGAGGCCCAAGTGAGTAAGTCCATACCCATGCTGGCCAGGGAGAGGATGACATTGAAACCAGTGGGGCAGGAGTCCAGCAGCCCCCCTCCCCCAACTAGGGCAAGGAAGGGCTGTGTGTGAGATGGGGTGGTGGCTGTGACCAGGGAGCAGGGCTATGATACCTTCTCAGACTGTGATGCCCAGAGGCATGGTGGGGCTGCGGCCCATACCATGGGAGAGAGTCTGGGCCCTTGAGGTGGACTGTGGGAAGTGGGGGTTGTGGGAGTTTGGTCTCCTGGATTATAGGGAGATTGCAGCTGAATAAAGCAGAAGGCAGCCCACTGCTTCAGCCTGGGGGAATCTGAACTGCCACAGGCCCACTCCTCTGACTCTGGGTCTTCTGGACGGTGCCTCCGGAACCACCCGTGATTTCCTCATGGACTTGCTCACAATTCAATACAAGGTCAATAATGCACTCAAAGCTGACGGTTACAACTGCATGCAACAAAATTTATTGTTGACTAACAATTAATGGAAAAATAAAATCATCTTGACAAAATTTATACCTGCAAGGATATGTGGACAAGAGAAAGTTGGACTTGGTAGAAATAGTGGTCCCAAGAGAAAATGTATAATAACAGATTAAATAAAAAACAACTAATGGATGAATCAAATGTCAGTGAAAAATGTACATGGAAAGAACAAATCCAAGAGAGAATAATTGCAATAAAATGAAAAAAGGAAACAGAAAAAGTTGGAAATTGTTTAACGCTGCTGTATAGAAAACTGATTTAATAATTAAGTGTAATGAAGTTCACTCTGAAAAATTCTTTTTTGCCGATTTTTTTTTTTTTATTGAATGGTAACTATGTACATTAATGCACTTCTGGGGTACAGTGTAGGGTTTTCACATGCAATCTGAAGTACTTCCATCAAACTGCTCAACACAGCCTTCATGTCATTTTCTCAGTTATTGCTTTAAAACGGTCACATTCTACTCTTAGAAAGATTCACCTGTACCCCTATATTTTGCTGATTTTTGATATAATTTATATAATCCTGCTTATCAGCCACATTCTCAGAAGCAGAATTGAGATAGCATAGGAGGTGGTCTTTGGCTACTTGTTTAAGTCTTAATCCAAAGCTTAAGTCTGTTAAAATACTTGCCAAAGGCTCGGTACCTGTGGCTCAAGTGGCTAAGGCGCCAGCCACAT